TACGGAATCATGACAGATGGATACAATTAAAAAAGCAGTTTCCATTCAGGTTGTCCTGGGCGGGAGGGCGCCCCAGGGGCACAGATGGGTCCGGCCCCAGGGAGCGTCTGCTGCAGGGGAGCTAAGAATAAAACTCTTCATCTGTTTTATGTGTTGCTTTCTACCCAAAAGCTGGTCAAAACCAATTAAAATCAGTTGAAAACCTTGAGAGGCTTGAATGAAGGTAAGCTACATAGCACCCTCGTTTCACATTTGGTAACTTTTTTCAAAAAAACCGAACAGGACAGTATTCTCAAATGATGACATGCAAACGCCTAAGAAATAAACATAGCCAGAAACAAAGCAGATCCCATATGCATTTTTAATTTGCCTCTTTAGCACAGTGTCATTACTATCATTTGTCAGTTACCACCCACAGGACTTATTCCACTATCAGCATTTTCAATTGTGTTATCATAAAGTTGATTTTGCTTTATAGATTCATGAAAGAGAACTGGAGAAATAATTAGTGTCCTGTGTGTCAAATGTAAAATGTATGGCGAGCAAAGCTAATGGTTTCATTATTAATACTATTTTTGCTAAATATTTATTTTAATTTTAATAAAATAATATTTAATAAATAAAAATGTATTTAATAAAATTACTATTTTATTTTACTAAAATTAATCTTATTTAATATCATTTGTAGTTATTTTACTAAAAATTTAAAACTAAAACAGATGGTGGAAATGGCTATCAACTCACGTTGCTTAGCTCAATTGCAAGTGATTGTTAAGAGTTAGGATAGCACAAAAAAGGGAAAGAGGGAGAGAAAAGAAAAGAAGGGAGGCGGAAGAGAGGGGGGAGAAAAACATTAGGCCTAAGTAAATGTTTTGAAAGTGATTAAAGCACAAAGTATTCATTCATTCAACAAATATTTATTGAGAACCCCTACGTTTCAGGCATCATATAAAAGAGTACACACAGACATGAAAAGCTTGACAAAAGAAAATTTCAATGTAGAACATAATATCAAAAAGGAAGGAAGGAAGGAAGACTCAAAACTTTTTAACTACACTCTGAATGACACAGGAGATAAATGCCCATGGCAAATTTCTGAAAGTGCTCAAAATATGGTGAGTTTATGAGATGTTTAGAAGGGGTAAAAACAATCACAACAAATATGTGGGGGCAGTAAGTGGGGAGGAGGGAGAAAAGAATGTCTTGGGTAAGTCTATAAGTCTGTTTATTTAACATCCCTTGAAGGTAATATTGTTCAACTCTTAAATAGAGTTGAAAAACTAAAGCAAGGGGTGCCTGGGTGGCTCAGTCAGTTAAGGACAGACTCTTGATTTCAGCTCAGGTCATGGTTTCAGGGTCATGGAATGGAGCCCAGCATCAGACTCTGCGATTGGCTCCAGGCTCATCACAGAGTCTGCTTAAGTTTCTCTCTCCCTCTCCCTCTGCCCCTCCCCTACTCATGCACACACACATTCTCTCTCTCTCTCTCTGTCTCTAAAAAAAAAAAAAGAAAGAAAGAAACTAAAGCAAGCTAGAAGGGTTAAAAAATTTTTATCCTTTTATTTTTATATTTTTTAAAGATTTTTTTATGAGAGGATTTTTTTTTTTTTTTAAAGATTTTATTTATTTTTTAGAGAGCGAGCGAGAGAGAAACAGCATGAGAGGGGAGAGGGTCAGAGGGAGAAGCAGGCTCCCCGCTGAGCCGGGAGCCCGATGTGGGACTCGATCCCAGGACCCTGGGATCATGACCTGAGCCAAAGGCAGACGCTTAATCATCTGAGCCACCCAGGCGCCCGGAGTTATTTTTTTTTTTTAAGATTTTATTTATTTATTTGACAGAGAGAGAGACAGCAAGAGAGGGAACACAAGCAGGGGGAGTGGGAGAGGGAGAAGCAGGCTTCCCGCAGAGCAGAGAGCCTGATGCGGGGCTTGATCCCAGGACCCTGAGATCATGACCTGAGCCGAAGGCAGATGCCCAATGACTGAGCCACCCAGGCGCCCCAAAACTTTTATCCTTTTAAAGCTAAAAGGAATTATAAAGAACACCTAATCCAGAACTTTAATTTTGTCCATAACTGAGGTCTAAAGAGCAACTTTCCCGAGGTCACATGGTAACTTTATTATTTTTAGTTGTAGTTTAAAATATATATACAAGTATAAATTCTCTGTAGAAAAATTAAATATTCCACATTAACTGAAATTTTTAAAAACCCACATGGAAAAGAGCCATTCAATATTTTGGTGTGTATTAATTCTACATTTTTTGAGAGAAAGAAAAAAGAAAGGGAAAGAGAGGTTGGGGGGAGGGATGAACAAAGAAAACATATTCACAGAAGAATGGCATCATACTGATCATAGTGCTTTGTATATCCTTAACACAGTATTTTTCTATATCCATAAGGAGATGTAACTTTTTAAAAAAATTATTAACTGGAAGAAGCAATCAACTTCTTTTTGTAATCTTTTTATACTGATAAATTTTAAACAACAAACATTTAAAATTGTGCAAATGAGCACAACAGTAATGGTGGGAATAATAATGTAATAGTTTAAAAGATGTGAACCCTGCCATAGGTCTAATAGTGAGACTATACATACACATATATATCCTCAATTTTTAAACACACATAAAACAAAAAGTATGAATTTAAAGATCTCTAAAGTTCTTCTGAACTTCTAAAATTTTATGATTCTGTACATATTTTATACATCTTTCTATAGTTTTTCTTAAGACTTCCCGTAATAACTGTTTTTAAATACATTTAAAAATAAAGCTTATTCCTACTTCATTCAAGAACAGTTTTGTTTCATACACAGTGCTGTGGAAGGTTTTAGTTTACATAAGCATACTGAATGCTTACAGCAACCCTGCAATGTAGATAACATGAAAATTAAGTTAATTTGTTCAATATCCCACAGCTGGTAAGTAGAGGGGACAGAATTAGACTCCTGGTCACATGTTCCCAAAGATTCTCTTCCTTTCATCAAATTGCCTTCCTTAATATATTCACTGAGACATTTATTAAGCATCTATTGTAACAACAGCAGGATTACTCTCCTAGATAAATACCCATTTAAAAGGACTGAGGAAATGCACACTGGGACTGATAGAGCCAAGTTCTCCTACCGGTGGAAATACTGAACTTATGTAGAACAACAAATAAGGAAACAGGTTAACGAAAAACAAACCTAATTTTAAAAGTGAGTGATGGAAAAACAAATAGGTCTGAGTTTAGAACAATGGGAATTGGCTAAGAGCTAAATGCAAAATTTTCTACCTTTTTTTTTTAAAGATTTTATTTATTTATTTGAGAGACAGACTGAGATAGAGAGAGCATGAGAGGGGGGAGGGTCAGAGGGAGAAGCAGACTCCCTGCCGAGCAGAGAGCCCGATGCGGGACTCGATCCCGGGACTCCAGGATCATGACCTGAGCCGAAGGCAGTCGCTTAACCAACTGAGCCACCTAGGCGCCCCTACCTTTTTGTTTTTTAATCAATTTGTATTTTGGTTTGGTTTTGTGGCCCATCTGATTTAAGAGAGATAGTTCGTAATAATTTCATACTGTTTGAATACTAACAATAAGAAGTATTTCCTATCATTTTGGAATAGTTTTTAAATTTTCCGTGAAACTTAAAGGGAAATGACACAGATTTTACAAACAAATTTTAGCTCACTTGGAAGAAAGTTTCTAAATCAATAAGCGGAAATTTTTGCTACTACCATTATATAATTCACTGAAAGGGTAAAGAGGTTATTTCCTTAAATACTTGAAAATGGGGAAGACTGTTAACAAATTGTATTTTAACACAAAATATTAATATCCTACTTTGTTTTAAGTGTGATACACATTCAATCAACTGAACATTCATTCAGAAGATTCATTTCAGACCTTCTCTGTTCAAGTCCACGGGAATACAAATAAGGCTACTGACTGTGATGTGGAACCTAGCCTCATGGAAAGAGATGATCCTGGTGTGGCGTTCTATTTAAATAAATCAATTTAGTTCCCCTTGGAAAATATCTGTGTATATCAATATGTGTATTTAGGATTACAAAAGAAATAATGCTACCTATGTGTTCCACCAGAGATTTACAAATGATTTTCAACATGCTTTACCATGTTGGTTAAGTGATATCACGATGGTTAAGTGATATATACTGAATCCTTGAAAAACAATCAAAACCAGTTACTCTGTGCTCCTAAAAAAAAATAAGATGACATTTCTTTGAATTTGGCACTCATATTTTTGGACCTACTTTTATTTCTTTTGCCAACCTCTGCTTCAGCCCCAACCTGATGCAGGAGGAACGAAGAGTGAGGATTCATCAAAATCTTTACATACATTGCAGCCTGAGATGATGAAAGCTAAGACATAAAACAACAACGATCTGATGTGCTGGTGTGCCTCCAGATTACCCAAGGTGGATGCTTAAGTAAAGACTGTCAGAGTCCTCTCTGAGAGATTTAATTCCACAGGTTTAGTTGGCACTCAAGAACATATATTTTTAGATAGGATACATTTTGAGAAACATGATTTCCAGAATTATCATCATTGCAGAGTTAGGGTTCCTATTTTCCCTTCTACCTTGGTCATTCTCAAAAGTGCCAGAAATATTACCATTTGTTTCGATATTTCTGAAGTGAAACTATATGCTGATCTCCACAGGACATATTTTGAAACAATATACACCCATGTTTCTGCCCCTTTCCCACTAGACAGAAAGATGAAGGGATAGGGACCAAAGGTAGACAGAGATAGTAGATCCAACCACCCATTTACCTAATATATATTAAAGAAAGCAGGCGTTTTACCTGCAAATCAGAAAGTAAAGTGTTTTAACCTTTTCCATATCTGAGACACACTCCGAAATTCTGTCCTAAAAAAATCAAAAGAAGAAAGCTACCACTGAAAAAACTTCCCAATAAAATTTCTAGAAGATTTTAGTTATTAACGACAGTAGTTAGCATTTTAGTTATTAACGACAGCAGTTAGCTTACCTGCCATCCCTCTGAGCAGCACCACCTTCTGTTACTGTCTTGACAAATATTCCCAGCTTTTCAAGTCCGGCATCTGCTCCAACACCCATTCCAATAATGCTTATACCAAGTCCATCCTCATCTATGAAAAAGGGAAAAACAATGCAACAACCTAAGTTTTACACTAGCCCACAATTAGCTGGTGACACCTCTTTTTTGCCTTTAGTTTTGTTCTTTATGGACTATATGACAGGCTTATCTTGGCAGAATATTTTTTTCTATGCTGGGGAGTAAAGATGTTAAATAAGATCCCCCCGAAAGGCTTGTGAGTTTAATCTCATTTTATTACTGCAGTTGGCTATTTATTTGTGATCCCAAGAAAAAGTAATAATTTGATCATGGATCTTCCTTAAAACACAGCCTCTCTAAATAATATATTTTAAACACAAAAGCATACATGCCAAAACACATATATATTATTTTAAATGAATGTGATCATAATGTATCTAAAATTTCCCCTTCATTTACGTGGTCTTTGCTTGTTTCATATCCCTATTCATGTTTAATAAGGTGGCATGTGTCTTTCAGTACTTTCCTCAGTCCTACTATACAAGCATATAAAAGTAGGAACAGCTACAATATATATGTATATATGCATAAATATAAATATACATACATATATGTATATGTGTGTATATATACAATGGCTCATTTTTCCTTCCTATTTGCTTTATACAAATAAGATCGCATTAAACCTAGTTCTCTCTGCGGTTTACTTTCCTAATTCAATGATACCTCATGGATATCAACTTACATAGCCTTAAATTACTTCTAATGATTGCATAATATTTCATGGTGAGATGGTATCATAACTTATCCAACCACTTCTCTACTGACCGGCATTCATTTTTGTTTCCATGTTCCTCACCCGATGAACAACACTGACAAATACGCTTTTAAATTCATTTACAATAATGTGTTTATCCATACTTCCATGAACATACGTATTTTAACATCAATGAAATAAAAGATACACTATTTCACATTCCACATTTTTTGGTCAACATTGAAAGTTATTTTCTGATAGCCTCAGAGTCTTTGGAACCACGTTGTATGAGCTGCATAAAAAACAAGACACTCGCTAATCAACAGTGAAGGGTTGTCTAAAGGAAAACTGGCTCATCTAGTCAGCAGAATGCTTGATGCTTTTAAGACTTTTTAGCAATAACATTTAATACACTAAGTATTCTTCATCAGTAATCTCTTGAACAGGGTTCACCTCATTGATTATTACTACTTGTCACCAACTGCTGCTTTAAGTGTTTCTAAGTACAATTTATAATCCTACATCTGTATTCTACATATGTTTAAAAACATGTCATTCGACAAAAGTGTGATTTGTTCACTCAGTTGTGTGCTAAAGAGAGCTTCGTAGAGTGTTCTCCCTGGAGGAACTGTTCAGTGTGATCCCCAGTGGAGGGTACTTTCCCATTGATTTTAGGCAGAGGCGCCTCTCCAGCGTGGGAACTCTAATGGTGACTAGTGCACGAGTCATCAATGGAGAAGTTCTTTCATTCCTTGTATTTAGAATGTTCGTACATATGTGATTTCCCATATTTATTTCATTCTCATTGTTTCTCTGGTATAGATACTCAAGTTCACCCAGAGGCTTTCTCTGGTTAAAAATTTTCCAACATTTAGGGTTTCTCCCCAGAATGAGTTTTCTTGGGAAAAGAAAAGTTAGATTTGTGCTAAAGGCTCTTCCTCACTGGTCACATGTACAAAGTTTCTTCTCTCCCACAGGAATTGTCCTGTGTGTATAGAAGGTTGGCTATATAGCTGAACTTCTGCCCACATTCATCATATTCCTAGAGTTTCCTGGTGTGGGAATCTATTCGTGTTGGTGAAAGGATGAATGATGACCTTCCCGGTGTTTACATACATGTAAGTGTTTCTCCCAGAGTGTTTGCTCCTGTGTCATTTAAGAGATGATCACTGTAGAATCGTCCACACTAAATAATGCCAAAGGGCTTCTCTCTCCTACATGAAATCTGGTATATATTAAGCATTTAACTGAATTCTTGTTCACATTCATTTTATTTACAGGAGTTTCTCTTCATTATGAATTACCACGTGTCAAGCCAACGTTGGGCTGTAAGGGAAACTTTCCCGTACTCAGTACATTCAAAGAGCACCTTTCAAATGTGGATTCTCTGTACCACCTTGCCATTAAGTAGTTGCTTCCTGCAAATATCCTGCATGAAAATCATATGTCTTCGTTTTTAAGTGCATTTTCCCTGCCTGGACTCAGGCTTTAGTAAAATTATCTTTCTTCCTGCCTTAGCAACCCTGTTGCTCTCACTGGAAAATTACTCAGATTTGTAGAGCTGAAAACCCAATTTTAGGAAAAGCAGTAATAGCTTGAGCCATCCTCAATTCCAGTGCAGACTGCCTGAAAGACAAGATGATAACTGAAAGACAATTAAAGGAAGAATACAATCAACACACAGAGACCAGTTGACTGATTGCATCTCTGTACAGCTTTCTGTGAGATGTGTCAAAAATGGGTGGATTCCAGAGCCATATCCTTGAAGGCCACTGATTCCTGTGACTGTCAAGAACCCAGCAGCCCCCTGGTCTTCCTCTGTCTAGCCCCTCCTAGGGACAGAAAAAGCACTAAGTAGGCAAAGCAGCCGGGAAACAGTGGAAAAGACTGTGAGGCTGAGTTACCATGAAAGATGCTGTCACCACACTCTGGAGGCAGAGCTTACCTTTTCTCTTAAGAAAAGAAGCTCACATTGGCTTAGCATTTCCCTTATTGCTAGTGAGATCTGAGCTTGTATTCATGTGTCCTCTTTGGTAAATTGCCAATTTTTTCTACTGAGTTTTCCCTGTCTCTTTTTTCTTTTTTAAGGTTCTTAGCATATTATACATATTATCTCCCTGTCATAATGAAGATGCCCCCCCCAATTTATCATTTATCTATTGTCTTTGTTTGACAATATTGCCTTTAAAAGCTTAAAATTTTGGATTCATTGACTGGACCTTCTTTTCTTTTATAACTTCTGCTTTTCCACTTTGGTTAAGCCCCGCCTCCAACATGCCTACAGGATTTATGTGGTCCTATAAGTTTTTTGTCAAATACCTTTATTACTTTATTTTTAGTATCTAATTATCTAATCCAGGTAGAGTTGTTTTTTATATGATATAATGCAAATGAAGGTGCCCAACTTTATATTCTTCCACACAGATGCCCAGTTATGCCAGAACACTTTGTAAAGCACCCTATTATCCTAAATTAGAATATCATACACGTTGTATATCGAATTCTCATGCATACTAACATCTTTCTCTGGATTTTCTACTTTGTTCCACTGATCAATTGCTATATGAATACAACTGGTTCTGATTATAGAGGCTTTACATTAAATTCAGATATTTAGGAAATTAAGACTTTTCACATTCTTTTTCATACTTCTCTTAGGTCTGTATTTTTCCATATAAAATTTAGTATTACATTATGCAATCCTCTCTCCCAATCCAACCCTGATGGCAGTTCTACTTGAACTGCATTAAATTTATATATTAATTTGTAGGTATCAGAGATGAAAAATAGGAGGGGACTTTTCCATACTGAGTCTTTTCATCCAAGAATATGGTATATTCTTCTATTTGTTTACATCTTCTACCTGTCAAAGATGGATTTTCAACAGATAAATACTGTTTTTCTTAGTGATTAATAAGTATTTTGTTGTTTTTGTGCTATTGTAAATGAAATGTTCCCATTTTCATATTTATGTGCTTAATGTAAATATAGAGATAAAACGACTAATTTTCTTTCATGTGTGACACCTGACCTCCTCTTACATATATAATCTTATCAATTCTAGTATTTTAAAATTAGAATCAGTTTGGCCTCTCATTATAGCTTTCATATATATAATTATAATACATATCCTATAATAAAAATCAGCAAAAGGTTACTTATCATGTTCTGTTTTCTACTGTTTATACTATTTCATTTAAAGAGCATTCCAAATCAGACTCCTGGTTTTAACTGAAATATTTCTAGTGCTTCTTCAATTTATTTTTTTAAGTGTTTCCTCAATTTGAAAGTAAAAAATCTCTGTTGGTATTATAATCTATAGTTTGTATCATATTTAGGTCTTTATACACTAACAACAAACTATCAGAAAGAGCAATTAAGAAAGCACCTGGGTGGCTCAGTCGGTTAAGCATCCGACTGTTGATTTCGACTCAGGTCATGACCTCAGGATCCGAAGATCGAGCCTTGCGTTAGGCTCTGTTTGGGTGTGAAGCCTGCTTAACATTTTCTCTCCCCTTCTCCCTCTGCCCTTACTTCCCCATGTGCTCTCCCTCTCTCTCTAAAAATAAGTAAATAAATCTTAAAAAAAAAAAAAAGAGTTCCATTCACAATTTCATCAAAAAAGAATAAAATAACTAGGAATTAACTTAACCAAGGAGGTGAAAGATCTGAAATTCTGAAAGCTGTAAGACACTGATAAAGGAAACTGAAGACACAAATAAGTGGAAAGATTGTCCATACTCAAGGATTCAAAGAATTAATATTATTAAAATGTCCATACTACCCAGAGCAATCTATAAATTCAGTTTAATCTCTATCAAAATTTCAATGACATTTTTCACAGAGATAGAACAAATAATCCTAAAATTTGTATGGCACCACAAAAGAACTCCAAATAGCTAAAGCAAACTTGAGAAAGAACAAAGCTAGAAGCATAACACTTCCTGGTTTTAAACTGTATTACGAAACAGTAGCAATCAAAACATTACGGTACTGCCATAAAAACAGACACACAGAGCAGTGGAATAGAATAGAGAGCTCTAAAATAAACTTATCATATTTGGTCAATTAATTTACGACAAAGAAGCCAAGAATATACCATAGGGAAAGGATGGCCACTTCAATAAATGGTGCTGGTAAAACTAGACAGACACATTAAAAAAAAAAGAAAGAAAGAAACTGGACCCCTATCTTATACCATACATAAAAATCAACTCAAAATGGATTAAAAAAACTTACATTTAAGACTTGAAACCATAAAACTCCTAGAATAAAACAGTAGGTAAGTCCCTTGACATCAGTCTTGGCAATGACTTTTCGGATTACAAAATAAGCAAAAATAAATAAGTGGGATTACATTAAACTAAAAAACTTCTGCACAGCAAAGGAAACCATTAACAGAATGAAAAGACAGCCTAGAGAATGGGAGAAAATATTTGATAAAGGGTTAATATCCAAAATATATAAAGAACTCATACAACTCAACAGCAAAAAACCAAATGTGATTAAAAATAGGCAGAGGAAGTGAATAGACATTTTTCCAAAGAGGACATGAAAAGGTATTCAACATCACTCACCATCAGAGAAATGCAAATCAAAACCACAATGAGAAATCACCTTATTAGAGTCAGAATGTTAGAATGGCTATCATCCAAAAAACAAGAGATAACAAGTGTTGGCAAGGATGCAGAGAAAGGAGAACTCTTGCGTGCTGTTGCTGCGAATGCAAAATGGTGCAACCACTTTGGGGAAACAGGATGGAGGTTTCTCAAAAGATTAAAAATAATTCTACTTCACTTGGCTCTTTTCTAGCTTAATTTTTCTAGTTTTAACTTTTTTGTGTGAAAAACACAAAAGAGCTCATGAAAACATTTATTTACAAAACACTGTGTTTAAAAATAAAACAAATATTCACATGCTAGCAAAGATACAGAACACTACCAACACCTGAAAAGCTCAGTCTGCACCTCTCCCCGATATCATAACTCTCCCATCGGTAACCACTATCCTAAATATCCTGCCAATCATGACCTCCATTTTTAAAACCAGTTATTAAAACCACTTATTTGTGTATCTTTAAACAATATGCCATTGAATTTTTCCTGGCTTTGAAATTTAAATAAATGGGATTATACTGAATGGCTTCTTCTGTGATTTGCTTTTTATCCCCCTTCAATTTCATGTTTGTAAGAATCATACACACTGCTGCATGGAACTGAGGCTCCTTCATTTTACCCTTTTCTGTCATTAATGAATAACTGGATTATTCTCATTTTTGCTATTATAAGCAATACGGTGGCCCACAGCCAAATCCCACAGCTGTTTTTGTATGGACCATAAGCTAGTAATGGTTTTTACGTTTTAAATGAATGAAAAATATAAGTATCATTCTTACATCCTTTTTAACCTCAAATGAAAAGTGTCTCTTAATGGGAACAATTAGCCAGTCATGTCTGGCATAATGACCGGTATTCTTTACATTTTTTTAATCCAAGTGATTTTATGCCCAAAAGTTACTGTTTTCAACTCCTTTCCCTCATCTTTTCTATTTAGAACAAGTTGTTCTTTGTTTCTTTTCCTCCTTGCTAATTGGGAAGTATGCAGGTGATGTGTTCGTTAGATCCTTAGCTATCAGCAACTTTCCTTCTTTCACCAGAAGAGAGGTAAATGCTCTCTGGGACAGATACAGGATTCTTGGATGTGTGAAATTTTATGTCTGCCTCCCACGTCCAGTGTTACAAATGAGAAATCTGATGCTAGTCTAATAATGTTGTTTTGGCAAGTACCTTTGCTTCTTTGTTTGCTTTGAGTGTGGTATTTTGTAAAATTTATACTTTATGTTGAAGATGAGGACTTCTCCCAGACTATGCCTAAGTGCGGGGTATTTTCCAAGTCGTCTCTCTATCAATTGGATAAGCCCTTCCAAATAGGAGGCTCAGGTCTTTTTTTGAGCTCAGGAAAATTTCTTCCATGTTTTGTCTACTATGTCTCTCATCATCTATGTCTTTTCCCCTTATGTCACCTACAATTTATATTTTGAGTCTCCGTCATGATTTTTTGTGTATGTTTACTCTATCACTTAAGAATTAGTTCGGCTCATTTCTTATGCTTGACCTTCTAGATCACCAGTTTGAGTCTCAACAATACCACCTTTTCCTCTTCAATTCCTCCACTGAAATTTTTAATTTTTAAAATCAACGTTTTTTTGTTTGTTGATTGGCCTAAGAATGTCTTTTTAAAGCCATACTTGATACCCTCATTTGATTTTTCATTTGCTTCCTTTTGTCATTCAAGTTGTCATCTGTTTGTTCTGCTTTTTTGTAAGGCTCTCTGAGATGTGATATTTCCCTGTTCACTGGGTCCCAGTCCATTCCCGGGTGCCCATCTTACAGGACGATAAACATGGCAGTCTCTGGTCCCATGGGTCCTCACTTCCCACCGCAGGCAGGCTGAGATTCCAAGAGAAGAAATCAAGAGGAAGCCCCTCTGCTCCCATTCTCCCTGCTCTCTCTTAGCCCTCTCCCCTCAGAGAGGATTCCACTGTCTCCATTCCAAAATCCATAATCTAAAGGCCCAGCACTCCACCATTTACTACATTCAGAGTCCAACCACGATGACTCTCCCTCCACCAAGAACGCAAAAACCACCTCTCCCCCACTTCCACCTGCCCTCCCCAACCACCTGCCCCCCGCCACTTCCACCTGCTATCTCTGAGCACTCACCAGCACCAGCCCTTCGCAAGGGTACCGACCAAACATCAGGCCCCACCCACACCTCCCTACTCCCAGTCACCATCCCAGGCAACTAGAGCAGATGACTTTTAGCTGGAAGTGGAAGGGAAGAAAGAGTCTTTCAGTCTACCATCTATACAGAGCTCATATCAACTACTTTTGAAATTTAATAAAGAAATTAAATCCTCCAATAGAATTAACACTTTCTCCAACCCTTCTGTGGGGGGGGGGGAATCTACATGCGAAAAAAAAAAAAGTCATTTTTGTGTTATTAAAATAGCCAAATAATGATATTACAAACGTTGTGGAGCTCATATACCTTTCTCTAGTTCCACTGGGAAAAGTTCCAGCTTTTCTACACGCTTTTCAAGTTCATACTCGGCAGAAGCAGCCACGGGGTCCACTTCATCGTTCCTCCTATCGTAGTCTTCATTGGAGTATGTGCTGAAAACCTGTAGTAGGAGGTCAACAAGAAGATGATAAGCCAGAAAGATGGCTTAATTAATTTAAATAAAAAACCTGCTAAGTATCTAAAACTATGTAAATTAAAGATTTTGACCAATGAATTTCTTTGAAACAACTGTTTTATCTTTAAAATCAATGAAGGCGGTGCCTGGGTGGCTCAGTCGTTAAGCGTCTGCCTCCGGCTCAGGTCATGATCCCGGGGTCCTGGGATCGAGCCCCGCATCGGGCGGGCTCCCTGCTCGGTGGGAAGCCTGCTTCTCCCTCTCCCACTCCCCCTGCTTGTGTTCCCTCTCTCGCTGTGTCTCTTTCTATCAAATAAATAAATGAAATCTTTAAAAAATAAATAAATAAAAAATAAATAAAATCAATGAAGATGTTAAGAATTAAGGAAAACTGAGTCAGAATAAAAATAACTTACATTTTAAAATGTATGTCATTCTACCACTTTTAATAATCAGGGAGACAACAGTAGCCAGAGGATATATTATTTGAATAGCAATATTCATTGCTTTTTATGGAATCCGAGTATACCATATTAGCTGCAATGCTCTGCTGGTTCCTGATGAAACTATGGTGAAGGACCTTGAAGCTACTACCTAAGCAAACACCCACACTGAATCCGTTTCATGCTGTGACCTACACAAGCCCCAGTGTTGTGGTGTGTTGGTACTATAATTATATTTCAATCACAGAATCACTGAAACTGACTTCTATCCTGTACCGAGCTGCTTCCTTTGGTAGCACATATATACTGGACTGAGCTGCACGAAGCTCTCATTTGTCATCTCTTATTTAACTTGCATGTAGATCCATATTAGATTCTCACTGAGCCTTTCCATGAAATGACTATCAAAATATTGCTCAAGAGCTCTTTCTGACCTAAATCATTCAAACGATTACTACTAAGTATGGTCTTCAGATGTGGCCGTAAGAAACCTGATTGCCCTTATTTCTGCTGAATTTGTTCTATTTGAAAAGTAACTGGAAACATGGGCGCCTGGGTGGCTCAGTTGGTTGAGCGACTGCCTTCGGCTCAGGTCATGATCCTGGAGTCCCGGGATCGAGCCCCGCGTCGGGCTCCCTGCTCAGCAGGGGGTCTGCTTCTCCCTCTGCCCTCTTCCCTCTCGTGCTCTCTGTCTCTCATTCTCTCTCTCTCTCAAATAAATAAATAAAATCTTAAAAAAAAAAAAAAGAAAAAAGAAAAGTAACTGGAAACAGGTATACCACCCCTTACTTAATTCACGGAGTAATATCTAAAAGAAAGAAATGCAAAATTTATCAAGTCCAATTAACATGTATAATAAAAACTGACATTTTTTATTAGATTTAATAAATATTAAGTATCTAAACGGTGCCTGAAAAAACTCTGTAATGTCCTCAAAATCTTAAAATCTAGGAGAAGTTTTTTTTAATATACATAAGAAGCTATAATAAAAAAAGAAAGCAGTACAGAAGGTCAGAGATGAAAGAAATCAAATCTATTGCCTATAAAGCTAGTCCTGCTGGTCCAGGTGCGTTTTACGTTCTTATTATTGGAAAACTGGCAACTCTCGTATGCTATATATGGTAACCTATAAACCAGGAATATATGTTGTATATATTAAGGAGCAGATGTAGTGTGGTATAAATTTATCAAAATCATGTCATTTATAATATTTGTACCAGGATGAATACTGTTTTTCTTCCTGACTTTCAATATGTTTTCATGGCCTCAAGCCACTCATTTGGTCTCTACCACATTTCCCCACCATAATAAACATTACTGCATCCAAAGGCATATTTCTAAACTATAGGGTTTGTACCTTTCTCTATGTCAGACATTGTGCTGGACCTTGGAGAAGGTATGGTCTCAAGTAGTTCACAGCTTGGTAGGGACACAGAAATCAATGTAAACAAACACAGTATAATGTGATACCTGTTGTAACAGAAGAATATGCCAAGTAATCTTTCTTACTTGCCTGAAAAAGGGAAGCATTTCATGAAGGGCAAAATATTTGAGCTGAATCTTAGAGAATAAACAAGAATTCATATATTTGAGTGTAGAAGAGATAGAATGCACATTTCAAATATAAGATCTTAGACAAAAAAATCCATATCTATATCCATATCTTTTAGAAAACACAGCTGAGTGGACTACAAAGCAACATGCCTAGGGGAGCACACTTTAACAACACACAAAAAAAGTTAGCTGGATCTGGAACTTACGTGTCCTGCAAACTATTGGCAGATACGACTGGAAATTATTCCACTGATGTTTGCTACTTGTCTACATCTGCTGAAGGTCCAAGAATATATATGTGACTGTAGAACAAAGATTTAATTGATATCCATTCTGGAACATAGCTCAATTTTGCTACCACAGAATAAGTGAATAAATAAATAAATGCATGTGTGCATACATGCATGTGTGTATGTGTGTGTGTAAAACATAAGTATGGGAGAACTGTTTCAAATAAATTAACACCTTCCTGACTTTTTTCAGGATCCCAAAACACTCTGCTATCAAGTGTTCTTCCTCAATTGGGCTGGTTTATAAAGTTCATTTGGGGGTCTCCTGAAACTAAATAAAACAAATAACTGTATGACTCCATATTGGGAAATGGTGTTTTAAATAATTTTTGAGGTATCTAGCAATCAGAGGACTATAACCCTATTTCATTCTGTAGAAAAGAAATAATGTAAGATACTTTTCATCTTCAGCTTGCTCATAGTCTGGTTAATTATGTGAGTACATAGGAAAAACCTATAAATAACTGAAAAAGAAAAGCCAGACTTCATTAGATGCAGATTAAGCTATCATTTACTTGGAGAATCCAAAAGATTTAACATAAACATTATTAGAACCAGTAAGAGTTCCATAAAGTAACAAAAAAATTATTAAAAAACCCACAATAGTTTAGAAAGTATAACAGAAAAGGTAAGAAACACAAAATATCCAGGAATTACTAATTATAAATGTGCAAGGATATCCTTCTCTATAAAATTTAACTGAAAAATACAAAAAGCCCTAAATATGTATAATGACATACTATGTTCCTGGATAAAATTCTTAATATTGTAAAGGCATCTACACTCCTAAATTACTGTAAATGTTAACTTGCCCCAATTTAATTTATGAATACAGGGCAGTCAAAACCCCACTCAAATTTTTCATAGATAACGAACTGTTTGAAAAGAATAGGATGGAATCAGACCCTATAAGATATCAAACATACAATAAAACTTCATTTTTTAAGGCAATGTAGTTTGGGCCCTGAGGTATATCTATTTTTGGATTCTGTTCTGTTCTGTTCCTCTACTTTTCTGCTCAAATTAGTTAGGGTGATCTATTCAATAAATAGTAGGGAAAGAATGGGATATCTGCCTGAAAAAAAAAAATCCTATTTCATATCAATAACAAAAGTAAAATTTCAATGGGTTAAAGACAAAAAAAATTATAAATTTTAGAAGTGCTAAAGAAAATATGGGACAATGTTTAATCAGTTAGATAGGATGTTCCTACAAAGCCATAGATCCTAGAAATCTTAAAAGAATAGCTATGTGATTAAAATTCAATGCTAAAAATTTCTAGACAACAAAATATACCATAATTAAATTATAAGAAAAATCAAATATTAGGAGGAAAAATTGCTAAATATCAAGATGAAATATGAATATGTATAATATACAAAGAACTTCACCACTTCAAAAAACTGTATGTGTAAGTAGGAAAAAGGAAATTAATTAGAATTCAACAAAGAAATATTAATGTTCAATAAATGATGTAAAGATGCTCAGCTTCATTAAAAATTAAGCACATGTCAAGTACAAGGAAATACCAGGTATTCACCCACAGAATGGTTAAAAAAAAAAGACTATAACATTTAGTGTTCGTGAGAATATAGGAAAAAGAATACTCTTGGAAAAGCAAGGAAAAAGCATATTTTGAGAACAGCTATCAAGATTTTTTTTTAAAGATTTTATTTATTTATTTGAGAGAGAAAGAATGAGGCACAGAGAGAGCATGAGAGGGGGAGGGTCAGAGGGAGAAGCAGACCCCCCCGCTGAGCAGGGAGCCCAATGTGGGACTCGATCCCGGGACTCCAGGATCATGACCTGAGCTGAAGGCAGTCGCTTAACCAACTGAGCCACCCAGGCACCCATGAGAACAGCTATCAAGATTTTAAATGTCAATGCCTTTGACCTAATAATCCTACATACATGTATTTATGGAGATATTTGCAAATGTGCACAAAGATGTACATGCAAGAGAGTTCATCACAGCACTATTTGTAATAGCCCAAAGCTGGAAATTGCCTAAATGTCCACTGACAGAGAAGATGTCTTACTAAATTATGATACATATGAATATGTAATTTTATGCAATGATTAAAAAGTTCTATCTCTGCTGACATGAAGGGCTCTGAAATATACATATTATTAAAACAAAAAAGCACACTGCATATATGTCTATACATCCATATCCATACCCAAATCTTTATCTATCTATCTACCTATCCATCCACATATATATATTCCCAATTGGTATGAGCCCAATTTTAATCTAATTTAAAGACCTCCTAAATTCTCTAGCTCTGTAGCTCTTGCCTCAGTGTCCTTATTCACAAAACGGCTATTATAATAATTATACCTATCTCATAAAGTTACTGAGAAAATGAAATGAGATAATCCATGTAATCATGCTTGGTTCAATGTGGGGAAGAGAAAACTTACCCAGGGTAATATAAGAGATAACACTACTACTTCCCCAGATACGTACACTCATCTCATACTCCTGTTTATAAATAAGTTTTGAATATTTCATCCACTATGATGCTTAATGTCCCTGAAACCCAAATCTACGTTACTATCTTGATATTATAATATAGATTGGCCTGCCAAAATCCCTACCTGCGTCCAGAGCAATGCACTATCACTCCACAATGGCTCATCACTTGCCTTGCTTTGTTTTGCCTTGACCAGGAAAAAAACCTCAGAGATAAAAGAG